ACAGAAGGCCCCTCCTGCAGCTCCGAGTCTACCTTCCTGGAGCCAGCAGCACAGTGAGCTGCTTACTAGGTTCAGGGCAGTAGATCGTCTGCATACTGAATAACAAAGAGGCAAAGGTCTGTGCTTATGTTTTCTATTGTTTTAACATCATACCTGGGGCTGGGTAGTTTATAAGTAGAGAGGTTTATTTGGCTCATGATTCTGGATAACCTGCCAGAGGCCTCCTGGTGAGGGCGCCGTTGGCTGCATCATCACATGGCAAAGAGCAGAAAAGAAAACTGTGTACAGAAGGGACCAAGCACACAGGGTAACCTTTATGACAGCTCACTCGCATCAAGACTCACTCACTCCTGCAAGACCCAACCTGCTCTGGGAGACCAGCATTCAACCATTCATGAGATGGAGCCCCCTGAGCCTTGACTGCTTCCCGCAAGGCCCCACTTCGTAAAGTTCCATCATCTCAATTCTGCCACTCTGGGGACCAAGCTTCTAGCACATGGACCTGTGAGGAACCCACTCAACCCACATCCAGACCATGGCAATATCTGGTAAGAAGAGCAAACTAAGAGCTTGGTTCTCTACCTCAGAAGGTAGAGACGGATTCTATGATGAGGAACGGCAGTCCCTAAGTGTTGCAACACAGCAGAGAGGACTAGGGTATCCATCACGGTGTCTAAACAGAATAGGGAAGCCAGAGGAAGTACTCAGGGCATCTTGTCCTCTGCAAAGTCACTCTCAAAGGAGGACCCAAAGTTCTGTCTCTTGAGTCTGTATCTTTAGATACTGCAGACCATCAGGTCATGTGCCTATGTGTGACCACAAGCAGGCAGATGTGTGTATTTGCGATTAGAACATTGCTGCTTTTTGAAGATTAGTTAAGAAATGTTGGGGCTGGGCATTTGACATGCTGCTTGGGATTATTTAATTCCACATGTGGGTGCCTGGTTTGAGTCAGTTCTGCTCCCAATTCCACCTTCCTGATAATGTGCATCCGAGGAGGCAGCTGCTGATGGCTCAAGTGGTTGGGTTCCTGCCACCCATGTGGGAGATCAGGATTCAGTTCCCTGTTCCAAGCTTCAATTTGGCCAGGCTTCCATGTTGTGGGCGTTTGAGGAGTAACCAAGTAAATAGGATATCTCTCTGCCTCAAGCAAACCTTTGGAAAACCTAGAAAAGTCAGTAGAAAATATAAGTGACCCATGATCCTGTTACTTATAAATGAAATTAATATTTTGGCTAATTCCTTTCCTGTCTGTTCCTTTAAAATATTGCTAAAGTGCAGTATAAAATTGTATATCTTACTATTTTCTTTGCTTAATGTCATGACAGAAAATATGATATTGCTACTTAGCATTTTTTACATACATACTACATTGTTAACTTGAATGTTTCCCCCCATGTACATTCATGTTATTATTAGATATTCTTTTATTTCAAATCATTTTTAAACATATTTGTACTGAAAATCCTGGTCTTTTTTTCTTGGTTATTTCCAGAGGATAAAGTCTTAGAAGGATGTTCACATTTCAGAAGTCCAAAATGCATTCCTCTTATTATCTCAGTGACTATTGATCTGGGCTGTGTTCTGAGCCCTGTGCCTGGGGAAGAAGGTGGCAAGGCGGCCTGAACCCTTGGAGCTCGGAGGTTGCAGGAGATGGGGAAAGCCGTCTAAGAGGAAGTGCACTAAAGGAATCGGTTCATGAGACCATAGGTTCTGAGAAGTCCCAGGAAAGGCAGTCTGTGCTGGCTGGAGACCCTGGGATGCCAGCAGCATGGCTGAGTTCAAGTCCAAAGGCCTCAGAACCAGGGAAAATGACAGGATAGGTCTCAGTTTGAGTTCAGGAATCTGTGAACCCACGTTGGGTGCTGGTGTAAGTCCTGGGGTCCAGAGGTTGGGAGCCCGGAGTTCTCTGGTGTGCCAGGCCACAGGAAGAGCACAGCCCAGCTCTCAGACAAGAGACCAGTTTACCTTCTGTGCTCACACCCCTTGTGCCCCAGCCAATCAGATGGTGCTGTCCACATCGAGGTCGGCTCTGCCCCACCTTGTGCACTCGGACCCACATGCTGACCTACTCTGGAAACACCCACACAGACACCCTAGAAATAACGCTTTATCAGGTTTCTCAGTGTTCCCCAGTCCAGTCAGGTTGACACCTGACATTAACCATCACAGACCCCAACTGAGGAAGAGGGCTAACTAACACCAATCAGAGACACTACAATTATGTTCCTAAGAATTCTCACAAGGGGGGAACAGTCTGCAAGTCAGCTGGAGAAAGGAGGGGAGGTCCTCAGAGACCAACAGGAAATCAATCAATGTCTACCTGTGAGGAGGGTGGCTGGTCCACTGTAGGGGTGTGGGCTTTTCTGGGCGGGCTGGGCAAGCATTGGCAGATAGACAATATCACACCAGATGAGGTGCCCTCCTGCCGCTCGTGTTTCAAACACATCTGCCAGACACATCAGTGAGATGACCGGCTGAGGTGGCATTTGGTCAGGGGCGTCAACAGGAACAGGCAAAGGAAGAGAAGAAGTTCACGAGCAGTGCCAGCACAGGAGGAGGCCTGAGAGAGGCCAGGAGAGTCCAGGGAATGAAGGTATAAAAGTGAGCAGCTGGTTGACAGTGCACAGTGGGGCTGGAATGCCGAGTGAGAGGATGATGGAAGCGTTGTGTTGGGTTTACCAGCGAGGAGCTTGGTGGTCATCTGTGGTTGCAAGGATTGTGTGAAATGTGGGGAGGATTCTGGGACATTGGGCAGCAACTTTCTCACTGCAAGTCATCAAAGTAGAACGAGGAATTCAACTGATCTTCCCAGCAGTTCGGCATTGTATGGCGTGCGAAGAGAGTGGAAGGTGGCATCTCCCTCCTGCTGCCCTCTGGCCTTACGGCCTGTGCAACATTTGACAAAAGTTTCAGAATCAAAACACGATTTCATGATTTGAACTTTTGACATTAATTATGAGTAACAGTGACTATTTTCCCTTATGGTTATGTGTCATTTTTCTTTTGTTATTTATGTCTTTTGCCCAATATTCTGTGTTAGATGAGTCATCATCTTATTCATTTTGAATATGTATTTATATACCATAACCTCTGCAATTATATTTCAGGCAAATATAATTCCCAGTGCTAATTCTATCTCTGCTTTTTAACATATAAATTTCATTTCCATCTATTTGTTTATTCTTTTCCTCCCTTCTTTGCTTCCTTCTCTCTCTCTCTTGCTCTTTCTTCACTTATTTTATTTGAGTGGCAGAGAGGGGGAAGCAAACAGAAAGGGCTCCCATCTTCTGATTCACTCCCTCCGCACTCACAGAGGCTGGGGCTCGGTAGAGCAGAAGCTGGGATCTGGGAGCTTAATCCAGATCTCCCGTGTGCGTGGCAGGGACCTAACTACTTGAACCATCACTCTTGCCTCCCAGGGTCTGCGTTAGCAGAAACCTGGAGTCAGGAACAGGAACTGGGTATTGAACACAGGCTCTCTGCTTTGTAGGATGTGTCTTTATGTTATGAAATCTTCCTTGGACAATAGGTTTTCTTTTTTTCTTTTTCTTTCTTTTTTTTTTTTTGACAGGCAGAGTGGACAGTGAGAGAGAGAGAGAGACAGAGAGAAAGGTCTTCCTTTTTGCCGTTGGTTCACCCTCCAATGGCCGCCGTGGCAGGCGCGCTGTGGCCGGCGCACCGCGCTGATCCGATGGCAGGAGCCAGGTACTTATCCTTGTCTCCCATGGGGTGCAGGGCCCAAGCACTTGGGCCATCCTCCACTGCACTCCCAGGCCACAGCAGAGAGCTGGCCTGGAAGAGGGGCAACCGGGACAGAATCTGGCGCCCCGACCGGGACTAGAACCCAGTGTGCCGGTGCCGCAAGGTGGAGGATTAGCCTAGTGAACCGCGGCGCTGGCCAGGACAATAGGTTTTCAAAAGAAAAGTAAGTAGCAACAACTTGAGTTACATGGGCAAGATCAACAATCTGGTGATAGGTTTACAAGAAAGTCCAGGGACACACTTCCTCAGGGTGAAGATGACCGAGCCACATTCTCTCAATTACGTCATTTAGGACTTAATTGAGTACCTGCTCTGTCTAATTCACTGCTGTTGCCGCTGAACTCAGTGTGGTTTTATCTGGGAGAGTAATTTGAAGAGACTGTCTTAAGGGAGGACCATGAGAGAGTAGTTCAGTTGTAATGAAAGATGGCCCGCACCATGCCTGGTCTCCTGCAAATGAGCATGCTACCCCACAAAACCTAGCACCATACCTGAGGGCTCAACCATTTTTGCACAATGGTCGATGTCTTTTCTGTCACCAGAAATTGTCCTGTTAGTTGCTTTTGCCCTTTGCTCTCCCCTTGTAGCCTGAGGGTTTGGACTGCATCATCCAGTCTTTCCCGCTCTGCCTGTCTACCACACACACCCAGCTCAGGCCACCTTGCTGGGTGAGTACTATGGACTGGATGCTTGTGTCTCTCCACAATTCATGTTGAAACTTACTCCCCACTGAGGTGGTATTAACAGGTGAGGTTTTTGGAGAAGTGATTAGATCGTGAGAGTTCTGCCCTTGTGAATGGAATTAAAGCTCTTTTTTTTTTTGACAGATTTATTTCATTATTCACTTGAAAGGCAGAGTGATAGAGGGAGAGGAAGGAATATTCAGTGCACTGCTCAAATAGTTACAACAGCTGGGGCTGGGACAGGACAAAGCCAGGAGCCAGGAATTCCACCCTGGTTTCCTACATGGGTGGCAGGGGCCCAAGGACTTGGACCATCTTCCCGTCCTTTCTTAGGAGCATTAGCAGGGAACTGGATTGGAAGTGGGGTAGCTGGGACACGGACTAGCACCATGGTATGGAATGTGGCCCTTTTGCAAGCGGCAGCTTCACCTGGTGTGCCATGATGCTGGCTCAAATGATTGTCCTTGTAAATCCGACCTCAGGGAACTGCCTGGCCCCTCCGTCTCTTCTGCCATGTGATGACACAGCATTTGTCACTTGTTGCCCTTTCAGTCACGTGAACGCACAGCAAGAAGCAGCAAGTCCTCATCCAACCTGTTGGCACCTCCAGCTTGGACTTCCCAGCCTCCTGAACTGTAAGAAATTCCTTTCTGTTCTTATCCGTGACTTGCCCTGCTCCCAGCGTCACTGTTATCTGTGTGGCCCATTCATCCTGAGCCCCTCTGTCAAGGCCTCTTCTCTACCTGATGATCTTGAGCAGGTGATATGAGCTGTCTGTGCCAAGTTCCCATCTGTAACAAGAGGGGAGGTGGTAAAAGGACAAACGACGTAGGGTTGCTGTGAGGATGGAGAGGGTGAATGGAGAGGGCCGCCGTGTCCCTGCGACTGCTGCTGTCATTACTGTAAATGGGGTCTGCCACCCAGCCTCAGGCCCCGTGCTACGACTCTCCAAGGGGAGGCAGATGATCCAGTAAAACTCCAGGAAGCTGTGTCTCTATTGCCAGCCGTTCCACAGCCGGCTCACTCCCGGCTGCCACAAAGTTCTGCCTCCACAAGCAGGCACGTCGCAAGGCACCAGGCAGTTGGAGACTCTCTTCCATGGGCCCTCACCACTGTGCAGCTAGAATGCTCTGGCTGAGCAAGGAAGGCTCAGGAGGCCTAGCCAGCTTTTATTTGCCTGTGAATGGCGCTGAGAGGAGCAGGGTAGCAGGAGGCAAGGAGGTCCCTTCCCCTTGGCGTTCTCAGGGTAGGCTCTGCCGATGTCTGCATCTCAGCACTGTCCTGCTATGAATGTTGGGACCACATGACCTTACATTATGCAGGTATTTTATAATGGCCACAGTACCCTTGTCCTTGTCTCACCTGTTCTCCTCCATTCGCTGGAAGCTGGGAAGTGGGCTGGATGCAGAGGAGAAAGCATGATTTTTAAATCTGTTTTCTTGCTCAGAGCCAGGAGGGAAACAATGGGAAGGAAAACAGGAGTTATTGTCCCTGTTACATAATCCTTAAAAACCGAAGTTCACTGGGGCCGGCACGGTGGCATCGTGGGTAACAATGCCACCTGCAGTGCTGGCATCCCATATGGACACCAGTTCTGGTCCCGGCTGCTCCACTTCCAATCCAGCTCTCTGCTGTGGCCAGGAAAGCAGTGGAAGATGGCCTGAGTCCTTGGGTCCCTGCGCCCGTGTGAGAGACCCGGAGGAAGCTCCTGGCTCCTGCCTCCGGATTGGCGCAGCTCCGACCATTGCGGCCAATTGGGGAGTGAACAAACGGAAGGAAGACCTCTCTCTCTCTCTCTCTCTCTCTCTCTCTCTCTCTCTGCCTCTCCTCTCTCTATGTAACTCTGACTTTCAAATAAATAAATAAATCTTTAAAAAAATACCCAAAGTCCAGATGATGCTATATGATTGCTTCCTTTGCACATGGAAAAGCATTTGGAATGAGAGATCTACTCCCTGTGACACTTTGCAGCTTTCCTGGCGCTCCAGTAGCAGTAAACAGATGTCATTCCTGGGAACCAGGAGAGCAGAACCCAGGGCTTCATCAGCCAGCCGTGGGAGGCAGGGTCTACTTTCATGAAAAGGGCTGAGAGCAAGACCAAAAGCATAAGCAATGACGACATCAAGGAAACCAGCATCTATCTCCTTAAGCGTTGACCCAGTCCTGTTGTTTGGAGCTCATGGACTCCTCTTTATAAAAGATCCAGTAATTTGTTGTTAGCTACAGCCCCCTCCTGTGCTGCTAGACAGTTCTCTGCTAGATGATTCTCTGGTGTGATCACCACACATTTATATGCATGTATCAAAAAAATCACACTGTGTCCTATAGGTATGTCACTTATTATGTCAATTTTTTAAATTTATTTGACAGGTAGAATTATAGGTAGTGAGAGAGAGAGAGAGAGAGACAGACAGAGAGAAAGGTCTTCCTTTTGTTGGTTCACTCCCCAAATGGCCACCACAGCCAGCGCTGTGCTGATCCAAAGCCAGGAGCCAGGTGCCTCCTCCTGGTCTCCCATGCGGGTGCAGGGGCTCAAGCACTTGGGCCATCCTCCACTGCCTTCCTGGGCCACAGCAGAGAGCTGGACTGGAAGAGGAGCAACCGGGACAGAATCTGGTGCCCATATGGGATGCCGGGGCCGCAGGCAGAGGATCAACCAAGTGAGCCACAGTGTCAGCCCCTATTATGTCAATTAAGAATAATTTTTAGAGGTATTTTAAAATGCCTTGGTAGGAATGGTCAATAGCTGTGTTTGGGGTAAGCCTCACTCTTAGGTCGGGTAGCTAGACAAGGGCCAACAAGGAGGATTCTCTGGCCAGTGTCATGTCACCAAACAAAATAGTTAAAATTCTTACAACTGAAACTCATTATGTTTAAGTTTTATAATCTGCTTTTTGTAACAGCGCTTTTTTTTGAAGATTATGGACACATTTAACATGTACAGAGGCAGGTGGGTGTTTGGCTCAGTAGTTCAGGTGGCATTTGGGGATGTCTGCTTTCAGTATCAAAGCACCCGGGTTTGAGTCCTACCTCCACTCCTGACTCCAGCTTCCTGCTAGTGGGAACCCAGGGAGGCAGCAGATGATGGGTCAAGTACTTGCATTACTGCCACCCATGGAGACCTGGATTGAGTTCTGGCTTCTCCTGGCCAAAACCAGGGGATGCCGCTCTCTGTCTGTCCCTCTGTCTGTCTGTCTCTGTCTTTCACATAGATGAAAATAAATGTAAAAATATTTTAAAATTTAAAAAATGTAAAAATGAAGTGAGTTATTTCCTAGGGGAGATACTATTTCTGCCTAAAGTCTTTGAGAAGACTTAGGGTGAGATACATAATTCCATCTAGGGCATCTAGGAAAGTCCCTAAGGACACGCCAGGACGCTAAGAGGTAGATTGGTGCCAGCGCTGGAACACTGGGCAGGCCATGAGACTGTTCTTAGTGTTCAGTGGGTCCAGAAAGGAAGCATCAATGGGTCCACTGTGGCCGTGGTTCTGGGAGACCCAAAGAGGGGGAGGGGCGGCTCGCAGTGTGGAGACTACAGAAGCTCTCATTCCTCCTACGGAGAGACTACTGGCTGCTAATAATGACTGGAATACCTGTCATGCTCTGGGGATCGTGCGTGCATTCTGACGACTACAGGCAGATAACATTCACCCCATTTTATGAATGAATGAGCTGAGACTTGGAAATGATTGGGGATTTAATATTCTCCTGGCTCTGTCTGGCTTCACGGGCTATGCTTTCTCAGGCTTCTTTTTGAGCTTGTTGTACTTACCAGGTCTGAAAATGTTGGAATTCCTTCTCTTCTCACCCCCTGCCCACACAGCACAGTATTATTAGCCACTTTCTGTGAACTTCAGAACTTAATTTCCAACCTCTATCTCTCCTCAGAATGGCAAAATTAACCCAAAAGAACATATGAGGAAGGAATACATCCTAGGGCACTTTGAAGAATGTGAATAATGGGATTAAAAGATAATTTTATTTTGGTATACACAAAAAATTGAAATTCATGCATAGGTTTTTCATGATACAAATTTTTCATAAGTTTTTTTAGATACATTTTATTTATTTAAAAGGCAGAGTTACAGAGAGAGAGAGAGAGAGAGAGAGAGAGAGAAGGAGAGAGAGAGGTCTTTCATCCACTGTTTCACTCTTCAAATGGCTGCATTGGCTGGGGCTGGACCAGGCTGAAGCCAGGAGCTTCTTCCAGGTCTCCCACGTGGGTGCAGGAGCCCAATCACTTGGGCCATCTTCCATTGCTTTCCCAGGAGTATTAGCAGGGAGCTAAATCAGAAGTGGAGCAACCAGGACATGAATGAGAACCCATATGGGAATGCCGATGTTGCAGGCAGCAGCTTAACCTGCTGCACCACAGTGCTGGCTTCTCCGTGAGCTTTCAGAAGACCTCTCATTTGTATGGAATTAAAACATTTTTTACAACAAAATAAACATTGTTTTATTTCATCTTCCGTGAGCTTTTTTAAAAAAAAAAAAGATTTATGCCGGTGCCGCGGCTCACTAGGCTAATCCTCCGCCTAGCGGCGCCGGCACACCGGGTTCTAGTCCCGGTCGGGGCGCCGGATTCTGTCCCGGTTGCCCCTCTTCCAGGCCAGCTCTCTGCTGTGGCCAGGGAGTGCAGTGGAGGATGGCCCAGGTGCTTGGGCCCTGCACCCCATGGGAGACCAGGAAAAACTCCTGGCTCCTGCCATCGGATCAGTGCGGTGCGCCGGCCACAGCGCGCTGGCCGCGGCAGCCATTGGAGGGTGAACCAACGGCAAAGGAAGACCTTTCTCTCTGTCTCTCTCTCTCTCTCATTGTCCACTCTGCCTTTCAAAAAAAATAAATAAATAAAAAGATTTATTTATTTATTTGAAAGTCAGAGTTACACAGAGAGAGAAGGAGAAGCAGAGAGAGAGAGAGAGAGAGAGAGAGAGAGGTCTTCCATCTGCTGGTTCACTCCCTAACTGGCAGCAACGGCCTGAGCTGTGCCAATCCGAAGCCAGGAGCCAGGAGCTTCTTCCAGGTTTCCCACACAGGTGCATGGGCCCAAGGACTTGGGCATCTTCCACAGCTTTCCCAGGCCGTGGCAGAGAGCCGGATCAGAAGTGGAGCAGCCAGGACTCGAAGCTGCCCCCATATGGTATACCGGCCCTGCAGGTAGTGGCTTTACCCGCTACACCTCAGCATTGCCCCCCCCCCCCCCCATTAACTTTTTAAAGTACTCTGGTAGATATAAACATTTCTATTTGTTTATTGGAAAAGCAGAAGTAACAGGATGATTTCAAAGGTGGTGTTATTGTAACTAATAAAATAGACAAAAGATTAACTGATCCAATAAAGAAAATTAGAGAAAACATAAAATTTGGGATGAGAAAATATTTCAAGAGACCACTTTTCCCAATTTTCTGTGGATACTTTGGAACATTTCAGTGAAAATGTAAATTTTCTAGGAAAATAGTTATTACCAAAGTTCACACTAGAAGTGATCCCACTCCTGGAGCTGCCAGATTTAACAAACAGAAATTTGAATTTCAGATAAATAATTGTTTTAGTATAAATATGTATGCCCATCCAATATTTGAGACATGCTTTATAGCAAAAAAGCATTATTGGTTTTCTGAAATTCAAAAATAATCATACATCCTGCATTTTATTTGGCAGTTCTACTAAGACAGATTAATTATCATGGAAAAATATTAGGGACCAGTCAATAATTTTAAAAGCAGCCAGGGTACAAGGGTTTTGCTTAGAGGATAAGACACTTATTAGGGCACCCACATCACACATGGGAGTGCCTGAGTTCAAATCCAACTTCCAACTTCCTGTTGAAGCAGCAGCTGGAGAGAGAGGTTCTGGCCCAGGTAGTTGGGATCCTGTCACTCACCTACCAGACACGGATTGAGTTTACAGCTCCTGACTTTGGCTTGGCCTATCCCTGGCCACTGGGGGCATTTGGGAAGTAAACCATTTGACTGCAGGTGTCTCTCTCTCAGTCTGCCTCTGTCTCTCCACACACACACACACACACACACAGTAGATCGGATATTTCAAGTGAATATATGAACTGAATTCAAGGAATATTTTCAACTCTATTTAATTACTCCCAAGTATAAAAAAGAGAGGCCATTGTTGTAGATCATTAAGCTAAGCTGCCACCTTATAATTTGGCATACCACACTGGAGGGCTTGCTCGAGTCCCAGTTGCTCTGCTTCTGACTCAGTTTCCTGCTAATATGCCTGGGAAAGCAGTGGAGGATGGTTCAAGTACATGGGCTCCTGCCACAACATGGGAGACCCAGATGGAACTCCAGACTCCTGGCTTTGGCCTGAACCAATCTTAGCTATTTGGGGAATGAACCAGAGGATGGAAGACCAAGTCTGTCTCTCCCTCCGTCTCTCTCTTTTTCAAATAAATAAATCTTTTTAAAAAATTGTATTTAAAGTATACAAATTTCATGTAGTTCTTGTATACAGATTTAGGAACATAGTATTTCTTCCTACCCTACCCTCCCACCTGCTCGCTCTCCAACCCTTCTTCTTCCTCCTTCTCCTATTCCCACTCTTAATTTTTACAAAGATCTATTTTCTGTTTACTTTATACTCATAAAATTAATCCTACACTAAGTAAAGTGTTCAACAAATAGTATGAAGCAAAAAAAACAAACAAACAAACAAACAAAAAAAAAAAACAAAACACTGTTCCTCAACAGTAGAGGCAAGGGCTGTAAACAAGCATCAAATCTCAAAATGTTAATTTCTCTCCAAAACATTACATTTTGGGTACTCTATTAGTTACTACATATCAGATAATACATACGGTATCTGTCTTTTTGGGACTGGTTTATTTCATTAAGTATAATGGTTTCCAGTTGTATCCATTTTGTTGCAAAAGACAGAATTTCATATATATATTTATGAAACCACTGAGTAGTATTCCATAGTGTATATATACCATATTTTCTTTATTCACTCATCAGTTGATGGATGTCTGAGTTGATTCCATGCCTTAGCTATTGTGAATGAACATGGGGGTACAGATAACTCTTTCATAGGCTGATTTGATTTTGTTTGGGTAAATTCCCAGGAGTGGGATGGCTGGGTCATATGGTGGATATATTTTCAGATTTCTCAAGTATTTCCATACTGTCTTCCACATGGCTAAACCAGTTTACATTCCCACCAACAGTGGATTAGGGTTAAATAAAGGAATAGAGATCGGCGTTGTGCCACAGTGGGTAAAGTCGTTGTCTGCGATGCTGGCATTTGGGTGCTGGTTCAAGTCCTGGCTTCTCCACTTCTGATCTAGCTCCTTGATAATGTGCCTGGGAAAACAGCAGAACATGGTCCAAGTACTTGGGCTACCGCACCCACGTGGGAGACTCAGAAGAAGCTCCTGGCTCCTGGCTTCGGATCAGCCCAGCTCCGGCTGTTGCAGCCATTTGTGGAGTAAACCAGTGGATGGTTCTTTCTCTCTGTCTCTCCCTGTCTCTCTCTCTCTCTCTCTCTGTAACTTTTACTTTCAAATAAATAAATGAAAAAATCTTAAAAATAACCTTAGGAGAAGAGATTACATCATTAATTGTATAAATTACATAATTTAATTATATAATTAATTATTAATTATATAAAATTATAGTAAAAGAATGTAGGCACACAGCTACAAATGTCTGTGATAAAATCTTTATTGTGATGGTAATAAACCTGGAGGGAAATGATATTTTCTTTAAAAGTGACACACTTTAAAAAAAAAGCAACTGAGGAAAATTATCAGGTGATTTTGCCAAGTTTTCTGTATTTTTTTCTCAGTCTTAATATGCCTGTGTGTATTAGGGACATAATTCTTAGCTGCAAGTCATTTGTATAATAGATGTTCCTTCCTATAAACATCTCAAATTAAAGCCCATTGTTCGGAGAGTATTAGTCAATGCAATTAGATTAGAGAAAGAAGTGAGACATCAATCCATCAGCTGAAGAGATAAAATTATTACTATTTTCAGACAATGTAGTTGTTTACCTAGAAAACAGAAAAGAAGACAATTCAGTTAGATGAAATGGTTTTAAAATTAATACCCATATTCAGTAAGCACTTTACTAAGCAAATAGTACTTAACTATAAAATGTAACAGAGCAAATGATCTCATTTATGTTAGCATAAAGAAGATAAAACACATAGCTATAAATTTAATAACAACTGTATAAAATCTATTTAAAAAGCTAAAACTTCTTGAAGGGCTTAAAAATGAATAAATAAAAAGAACTATTGCATTCATGGGTAGAAAGATTTAGCCCTGTTAAATCTGTAAACACATTCTTTTACCTCAAATTAATGCAAAAATATGACAAAATCCTCATCAAAACACCAAAAGGCATTTTTATAGTTGGCAACATATTAAAGGCAGCTGGAAACATAACCTAGGGGATCTGCTCAGATTCCTGCCCAAACCCAATAATTTCAGTGAGGAGCCGCACAAAGCAGTTTATAATGTTCTTCCACCTTTAGGTCATGGAATCGGAGGCCTGAAGGCCTTATTTTATAGCTGTATTTGCCATTTTCATTTTAATAGGTGTGCACATATTACGTACATGATTAAAAATGATAGGTGTTTTAAAAGAACATTTTCATTCACTGCGTAGTGAGTCCTGTCCCTCATTCCTTTTTAGAATCATAGATAGGGCTTACGAAAAACAAACGAAGAACCAAAATAAAACAAAGAAAGCACCAGTGTCCACGCCTCATCTCTAGATTCTGACTCATGTGGTCTAGGTTTGACCAGGGCATCAGTATTTTTTCAAGTGCCAGAGTGGCTCTGATGTGCAGCCAGGGCTAAGAGTCACTGCCACAGAGTGACCCATGCCAGAGCTTTGCAAACCTGCTCACAACACATTGGTCATGAAATCAGTTTAGTGGGTTGGGATCAGCATTCAAACAAACAAAATATGGGGCCTGCATACTGGCACCAGTTTGTGTTCTGGCTGCTCCACTTCTGATCCCACTCCCTGATAATGCCCTAGGAAAAGCAGCAGAAGATGGCCCAAGTGTTTGGTCCCTGCCATCCATGTGGGAGGCCCAGGTGGAGTTCCTGGCAACTGGCTTTGACCTGTCCCTGCCACTTCAGTCATCTCTCTCTCTCTCTCTGTAACTCTAGCTTTCAAATAATTAATTAATTAATTAAAAATCAAAACAAACAAAACACAATATAATTAAATAAAAATTATGTGTGTGTGTGTGTGTGTCTACTGGCTGGTGAGATGCAGTAAAAATTATTAGAAAACTGCTGTCTTTGTGACTCAAACGTTTCTGACTTTCTGAAACACCTCATCAGAGTTTGTGTGAACTATTAAAGGTTTTTTATACTTTAAAACTTATATTGTAATGCTCACTTTTGCTTATTTTACTTAGCTGTTTAATCATT